ACTGTCCTCAAGGAAATTCACTTCTACCAAAACAACACTGATTAGTGTCATCATTACATGTAAGTTCACTGTAGGATTTAAGCTAAGCTTTTTTATATTTTATGAATGACAAATGGTGCAATAATTGTGAAAGTGTAATCACTAATCACATAATGTTTTTCAGAGAGAGAGAGAGAGAGAGAGAGAGAGAGAGTGGACAAAATTCAACACAAACAGAAATAATAAAATAATTCAGTTCACACCTTGCATTAGAATGCTTCACATGTGTCTTAAGTGCTCACTTGGAATATGATCTCACTTCCTGTGCCCTACTCAGAATATTTGGTTTCTTCACCAAGGTTTCCAATTTTTACATAAGTTTAGAGTTTTCATTACATGTTACATTTTAATTCCAGAAACCTCTTGAAATTAAAATGTAAATATACATGACTTTGTATTTTTGACCATTTGCCGAGGATTTACTGTGCATACTGGCAGCCTTGCCAGCAGGGTGCTTCAGTAGTCAAGTTGAGAGATGACCTTTGTTACTAAGTAAGTAAGTCAGTTAAGACTTGATATTTCTGATGTTATATAGTGACAAGCAACATGACCGAGTGACAGATGCAGTATTCTCAGTGAAATCTCATCATCACAGCAGCCAGAATTCTCGTTAGAGAGAACGGAACTGAACTGGAGGCTTATTTAGTTGTGCTGAACTGAAGAACTGGCTAGGATCACCAGGAGTTCTGTCTTGAGACATTGAGTTGAAGGTGGGATTATATCATTCATTTTAAGATATAAGTGAGGCAGGGTGAGATATACAATAGGCAGTAGACAGTAGGTTTGTCTGGCAGGAAGGACAGATAGAGTTGGGTATTATCAGCATAGTATTGGCAAGAAAAAGCAAGCATGTGAGCAGATAGTCAGACCAAGGGAGGTGGTGTATATAGAGCAGGGGACCTTGCAGTACCCCAGTAAAAAGAATGTGAAGCTTGGCCACTTTTCCTTACCATGCAGACAGGTGTGGTGATTTAGTACACAGAGGTTGCCAGGTCCAGCAAGATGATAACTGATGACTGTGCATCAGTTCTTGCTGACTTTCTATTAGACAGAACCGGACTAGTTTGAAGTTCAAGTCTGAGACTGGGGTGAAAACTGCACACTCATACATAATAATCAGATATGTATCAGCATAAACTGATCAGATGTTTTTCTCTCTTAGTTCCTTTGTTGCTGCTGGTGTTCTCAGTAGCTGCTGGGATCCTGCTGCTGCTCCTGCTGGTCTTTATGGCAGTCTGTCTGGTCCGCAGGAGAAGACGACGAGCCAAGCTGCCTGCAGTCCTTGTCCAAACCCAATGTATGTGCTCACCAGGATGCACAATTTTCCATTTTGAATACACACTTTCATTAAGTGCTTTTATATTTACTTCTATTTGTCTCCAATTCTTGTGTTTCAGTATCTGTCAGAGCCAGGAACGATTATGAATGTGGCGAGGACGATGACGACGAGGAAGACTATGTGAATGTTGATCCCATGGACAGCAAGAAGACACTCAAAGAGGAAGCAGGGAGAGTGGAAGAAGAAGACAGTAATGATTATGAGGAGCCAGAGAGTGAGGAAGATCATGATTATGAAGAAGCAGGCCCTGATGTAAATTTCATAAAGACCACCGCGGTGTGTTTCAGTATAGAGGACAACAGAGAAGAAGAAAAAGAAGAGGAGGAAGAAGAAACCGATGATGATGAAGAAACTGATGATGATGAAGACTATGAAAATGTAACCCAGTCATTTGGGGAAGACATTTGTGGAGAACATGAGGATATTTATACAGATTTTGAAGGGTCCTCTGGTTATTAGTCTCACGCTGGTAACCATGGATAAAGCACTGAACCTTTAAATCTTAAAGTGAAAACTGACCATTCAAATGGATTGAGTATATACATGTTGAATGTTACGCAATAAATTGTAGCTGGGTCTTTTCCCTCAGGACAATCAGCTAGTCATTCAATAATCAGTATTTTGAATTGCATATACCTAGACCAGACTAGAAACTACCAAAACTCTTGAATGCATGGTTGAAGATCAAGGTTTTAATATTTTAATTACCTGGACAAGCCAGAAAAACATTAGACAAGTTCTTGTAAAGGTGGCCTTTGATATAAATTCCATTCCAGAGTAGAGGTGAGGCTCGGTCAGTTAGTCCAAACTGAAACATCTTAACCACTGTTGGATGGATTATCATGAAATTGTGTTCAGACATTTATGGTGCCCAGAGGGTGAAGCCTCCACTGGCATAAAATCATTTGACATTGGTGGTTCTGAGTGAGATGATAGGATAGCAGTTCCTTGAACTCACAGCCTCACAGAGCTGCTGGCATTGCTAGCATGACTAGTTTGTGGTAAATGTGTGTATTTTGTCATCTGCTCAGGGTTAGGGTTAAGTTTGGCTGTCATTTTTTAAAAGCATTGTGCAATCTTCCCTCTGTCTGTCTGTGGACATTTTGTAACAGTTACTGGTGTATGTAAAACACTTATACATTCATTTTTAAGTAGAGTCTAGGCTGGATTACCAACCAGGCATAGCAGGCACTGCATGTGAGTTGGTTTTGATAATTTCATAAACTTTAAATATAGAATTAATACACAATTTATCCTTAAGGCAATTCCCACATTATTAGCCATTCTCGTTGGCCCTGTAATCTAGTTTTTACAGAAACATGAAGCCAGTTTGTATACCCTCAGCAAAGGAGTACTGTTTGGTTTCTGAGCATATAATGATGCTACCATGTGGGAAGTGGTAGCTTCATTTTACAGTATGTGGTCAATAGGTGCCTCTGGCTTCCTTAAGAGGTTAAGCTATATGTACAGAATGTGCAAAAAATGCTTCATGTATATTTTTTATTCTACACATAATGGTCCACTGTGTAGGATCTTGTGGCATCTAGCAGCGTAGTTGAAGATTGCAACTCACTCACTTCACCCTGCCTTTCAAAGCTTGAGAGAGAAACTATGGTGGATACAAAACAGCACCAATCTAAAACCTTCTAAATGTTACACACTGGACCTTTAACTCCTTACATATTTATAGTATGCATTTTTTTTCCTGAAAAAGTCTTACAGATTCTTTAATAGTAGTCTAGAGTCCAGCATGGTTTGTGAAACCAATTTCAATGTATTTCAATTAAGACCTTGTCACTGTGGTTGATCACAACATTCTCTTAGTATTAATTTATCTCACTGGTTAACTTTTACAGTTTAAAGGAATAAACTCTAATGCAATGACCATTTTATTTTCAATGAGAATAAAACACAACAGCGTGGTTTTAAGGGTTTCAGGTTCAAATGTATAAATGGAGTGCATTAGTAATGGAGTTATTTGTATAATTTTGTGTGTTAAAATAAATTAATATTGAGGAATATCCATGTTTTTGTTTAGAAACTAAATATAATGTAAATAAATTGTACATTTATTCTGGAATGTTGTTTTAGAGACAAAATGTTACATTTAAGTGTTTTATTTTGAAAATAAACCTATATATTTTATTAAATTACATTTCTTACAGAATATATTTGTGTAGTATTCTTTTTGCACATGCACATAACCCAGATATGGCCATCGAGGGTCTTAATCTAGATGCTCTCATACAACCATAAATAATGACCACACTTAGTTTGGGTTGTGTAATAATAACCCAGTAATTTAGAGCTTAGGAGTCGGCAGCCATCTTGAATCTCCCTTTCTATTTCTGTCCCTGGCATCCCCTGGTTCACTGACACACTTATTTTTGCAGTAGCCCTCCTGATGACTCAAAGCTTACTATCTGTCTTTTCTTCAGTCTGATGATGTCTTAATCTGTCCAACTTCAGTCCAAATGTGTGTATCTAACTTACCAAAAACACATAATGTGTTCTAATATAAAAAAAGACCACAGTTGAATCAACACTGTGATAAAAACAGAACTCACTTGACAACAGTAGTAGTAAATGCTTGTATTAAATAACATTCAATTCTCCAATACTAACATCAGTATAAACAATAATCTGAATAATAAACTGTGGTTTTGTCTATTTTAGAACACAGTAAAAAGCAGAAGTGAGAAACTTTACAATGAACAGCTGTTTTCAGCCAATCACATGTGAGCCAGTTCACAGTTTGAGCCAATGACATGGAGGAAGTTTACAGGACAACACTTGCAGCCACAAATAGATATGACACCAGCTCCTTGTAATGTAAGCACGCTGGCACACACACGAATACACTCGTGCAGCCAGATTCTGGGAAATGTTCTTGCTCTGAGCTCATCCCTCGAAGAAGCAGTGATGAAGCCTTGTAACCTGAGACAAGACGGGCTTTGTTCACACTGCGGGTCTACATGATCAGTTCAGAACAGCTGCTGGAGTCTGACTCTTGCTTGTCAGTTTATATCTGTTCAAGAAAAACAATGCACATATACTACATGGCACATGAGAAGGCATGTGTGTGAGCCATAACTGTAACAAAAGACCACCCTTCTGGGGCTGCTACTTGATTTAAACACATTTGTTTACAGTATTTATATAAATAAATCAAAAATGATGATGGTTATATGTCTTTTTTTATTCATATTTTTTTATCTGGTAGAAATGTGCTTCCTATTTTTTCTTATGAAGAAATTAAGCAAAATCAAAGATTATATATCATCTACGCTGGGCTCAACAATTAAGAGTGTAGAAAGTATTATGATGGATTCATTACTGGGTGTTTTAACCCTACATGTGTTAGCTGTACACTAGTAGCTCAAATTGGATTATTTTAACAAATTAAACAATTAGAGAAGAACAGCTTTGTCCTTACATCTGCCTTTCTCGTTTTCCCCTGATTTCATTGAACAAATCCCTTTGTGTTTGTATATTACATTTGACATTTAATTAAAATCTATTTAATTGCAGAAAATGTTAACTCTGCTCCTCATCATCCAAATAAAATACTTTCTTCATTTCTAGAACTACCCTTTACACTCTAAAAGTATAATATCACGAAATTAAATTGGGACCTGTAACAATGAAATACAAAAATAAGTTTAACAACTTGAATATGCATATGAAATTATTTACCTTAGAAAAAACATGTTTCATGATAAAAAATGATTGCCATAACTTTGTTAATCATTTCACCACAACCTAATGTTCATTGGGATGTATTTTCATTTGGTAAAAATCAGGTAAGTAAAATCATCAAATTAAACAGTCAGTTAGAGTCTAGTTAATTCAACCTGACTGCACCAGTTTGTTACACAGAACCATCTGGAAAGTTATTGTTGGAAACCTACTCGGCAGGTGATTGGATGAACCATCTGTCTGGCCACAATTGCATAGATTGAAGCCTGGCGAGACAGATTCTCACTTGATCTCATGATTTTCGCAAGGCTATAGTAACTAGGCACAAATCAAATGTAAAACAATGTTATTGGGTCAATGAATAGCTGTTGTCCTTTATGGTGGATAGCCTGAGGGGGTTAAGATACATTTTTCTCTCCCTTATGTCCAGTTTTTACTTTGTGGTTTTGCTTTCAACAACAAAGACTGAGTCTGAAACGAAAATACATTTGTCTTTTCACATGCCATCAGTTCTTTTCACTATCATCCCAGATGTTCTCATACTGCTACATGAAGATGGGTAATGAGCTAATCCTTTTGCTGTGCACACACTTTAGAAATCTGTACCTGAAACCAGAAGTAAAAGTCATATTCAGGACTGTGGTGTGAACACAGCCACTTGCACGTAAACCCAAACAGGATATGACCATGAGCTGTCTTTAGCCTTTTGATGAGTTGCAGGGCATTCCTGACCTCGCTGGCACACGCTAACAAACTGTGGTGAGCTCATGTGGTGTAAATAGCACAGTGGGAGGGGCGAATAAGGACAGCTGGGGTATATAAGGGAGTCCTGTGTCCTGTGTAACGTCCCAAACTACCTGATAGAACACTAACACGAAGAAGAAACTCTGGAAACTCAGTTCTTTGCACCGGAGCCTTGCAAACGAGAAACAAAGAGGCTACGATAAACAGCACTCACAGGTCGCCTGATAAACAAAGTCAAGTTTTTGTCAAGAACTGCCTTTTCACGCTGACATGATGTCCCAGCATGCAGCCTTGACCAGCCTGTTCGGCGATGACTCTTTCTTCAGCCAGGAGCGGCTGCTGTGGCCACTGCATCACGAGGCCCTCTCCTCACTGCAACAAGACTTCTTCAACCAGAGAGGCAAGCTGGCTGACAGTCTCCTGAGGGAGCTCCACGATGAACCCCTCCTGCTCAAACTTCGGCAGCTGCCCTTCATTTCCTCGACTCTGGCGAGGTATGTACGATATTGGATAAACCCAACTGGCTATGTTTTAGGGCGCTTTCAAACCTAGAGTTAGTTTGCTCGGGTCCGAATCAGTGGATGAGTTGGTGAAGTTTTACCCAACATTTAGTTTCTTCAAGTGAACCAAAATGCAGCTGTTCATGGCTCATTAGATGTAGAACCCAGGAAGAAGGTCCTATCTTTCCAAATATCAAGAAGAACTTTGGTGTTAGCCTCGATATATTTTCCAGCTAGCTGCTAGCAACTGTTAATATACAACTCTTCCGCTGTACGCAAAGCACAGCCAGCTACAGGAGCTGTTGTCATATTTCAACCACAAACAAACCGCTCCAGAATTTGTTTGTGACTGGACCGGGACCACTTACTCTTAAAGGTCTCGGTGTGGTTGTTTTGGTCCGAACACAAGTTCCATAGCTGTGCTCTGATATGCCCAAATGAATCTCACCAAGGGGGGAAATGAACCGAAGTCTGAGTCTACCATGCTAATCGACGCAGGTTTGAAAACACCCTTAGACACCCATAGGGCTGATTCTGATCCAGATTCTGATTCTCTTTCAGGCTGAGTGATGATCAGGAGCAGCAAAGAGAGACTCCAAGCACAGAGCTGCACAAAGAAGCTCAACAGGCCACAGAAAACAACGGCGACCTCCTGGTGACCCTGGATGCTCGTGGCTACGCCCCCAGTGACATCACTGTCAAACTGGAGGGGCGGAGCCTGGCAGTGGTGGCCATGAAGCAGGCCGGAGCTGAAGAGAGCCAGTCCTGCTCCTCCTCCTCGTCCTGCGCCTCCTTCAGCTCCTCTGCCTCATCTCAGATGGGATTCGCCCGGAAGATCGACCTGCCCCCCCACCTGGATCTGACCGGCCTTTCCTGTTCCCTGATGGATGACGGACAGCTGCGTATCCACGCCCCCGTGGCCAAGCAGCCAATCAGCGACGAATGCCAGGTGCCTGTTCGGTTCAGGACATCGCTGGAATTTCCCATTACCAAGGAGGCAGAGGAGGGACACACAAACTAATGCACACACAACACACACTGTCTGAATGAAAACACATTTTTAAATGAATAAATATACGTATTTTGCCTACACACATACACACACACAATTCCACTAACAGACTGTTTATAATGAGGGAAGTTTACCATTACAAAATGAAGAGAATATTTATTTTATAATTATTTGCAATTTGTATTGTTGAAATAAAATGTTTGAAATGATTGTCAGAAAATGAAAATGACTATTGTACATCTGTGTCTGCACGACATTTATTTATTAAATACATAACTACTTCTGTTATTGCTGTTTTGTGACCACACGATGGCGCCAGCGTCCAGCTTACACAGAGCAGGAAGGGGCGAGTG